AGGGTGGCGTACGAGCTTGATTTGCCTTCAGAATTGGAAGCAGTCCATCCTGTGTTTCATGTATCTATGTTGCGGAAGTGCATTGGAGATCCTTCACGTATTACACCCATGGAGGATATTCACATTGCTGAAGACTTATCTTATGCAGAGGTACCATTAGCTATTTTAGATTGGCAGGTAAGAAAGCTTCTAACTAAATAAGAGGGAGTATTTAAATTCCTGAATGTTAATCACTTGTATTTGGGCCTGAGGCTGTAGTATATGTTTTATGCATGTTTGGGCTCGATGTCGTAGTTTATGCTTATGCATGTTTGAGCCCAAGGCTGTAGTTTATGCTTTATGCATGTTTGGGCTCGATGTCGTAGTTTATGCTTATGCATGTTTGAGCCCAAGGCTGTAGTTTATGCTTTATGCATGTTTGGGCCCGAGGTCGTAGTTTATGTTTTATGCATTTTGGTCCTGAGGCTGTAGTTATGTATACGTATACTTGGGCCTGAGGCCGTAGCTTGTGCACATATATGTTGGGCTCGAGGCTGTAGTTTGTTTAGATAAACAGGTGGTTCATCATTCAGAAGAGGGAGTATTCATAGCCTTACATCTTTTGTTCTGTTATCAGTTATCATTTTAGTTATCAGTTATCAGTTATCATTTAGTTTCAGTTTCAGTTTCAGCTGTTATCAATTATTAGTTCTCAGCTCTCAGTTATCAGCTCAGTTTTAGTTTCAACATTTATAGTCCTTTCTTTCAGTTGTTTTACATATCAGTGCAATTCAAATGTACTGACGTCCCTTTCGCCCGAGGCGTACATCTCACGATGCAGGTAATGATTTATAGGTGGACGATTCAGAGTGCTCGGATTCTCATACCATCTATTTGGTGAGCCACAGTTCTTTCGGGGCATTATCATTACTCTATTGTCTTTAGTACTTTAGAGTGAGTATTTATAATACTTCATTAGAGGGCTTCATAGACTAGAGTACATAGCAGGCTTTTCATGTTAAGCAATGTTTGCTACAGATATATTTCAGACTTATATTAGTGTTTCCGCACTTGATTTATATCATTCATACTTTTAGTGTATCAACATGTATTAGTTTATCTTCCGCATTTAGTATGTTATAATATCACATGTTGATTCAGCCAGCTAGTTGGTTCGCTCTNCGTTCATATGTAGTCAGGAACCGGGTGTCGTGTTATGTCCAGGCCCAGGTTCGGGGTGTGACAAATCAGCATTATATCATTTGCAAATAACATAAATCATGGCACCTCCCGTTGAGTGTGTCGCGTCAGCACATCCATCGCAAGGGCAAATAAAAATGGGTTTAGAGTTGATCCCTGATGCAACCCCATCACCACTGGGAAATAATTCGAATCTCCTCTCACGGTCCTTACCTGAGTCTTAGCTACATCGTGCATGTCCTTAATCACCTCTAACGTACACTACCGGGATGCCGCTACCCTCCAGACATCTCCATAGAATCTCCCTAGTACTTTATCGTAGGCTTTTTCTAGGCTAATGAATACCACGTGCAAGTCCTTCTTCCTCTCCCTATACTGCTCCATCAACCTCCTCACAAGATGGATAGCTTCTGTAGTCGACTGCCCCGGTATGAATCCGAACTGATTCTCCAAAATAAACACATTCTTTCTCATCCTCCTCTCCACTACTCCTATGTAAAAAAAAACAATGCTGAAAAAATTTGTAATTCTTACCTAGTTTGGAACAACTTTAAATTTTGTAATCCAAGAACTTTTAAGATTTTTGAGGAAATATCTTTAAATGTATTAAACAAGCTTACACATGAGGAAAATACATTATATCTTTGTCCAACTCCAATCAAACTCGTCTACTCAATGAAACTTTTAAGAAGAATCTTTAAAATATAGTTAGAATAAACAATAAGGTAGTTGTAGTTTATTTTGGTCATAGTTGTTGACTTATAAAGACGTTAGAAGAATTAAATACTCCTTCCTTATTTTGGTCAATGGGTGATCAAAAAGACCCATGGCCTAGGTTGGCGACCTCCATTGCACTTTGGAGGGGTGCCAGCCTAAGGTCGGCCCAAGTGGTTGAGTCTACGTCATAATTTGTGGTAGCGGGGTTTGCGTTCGCGCAGCCCCTAACCAATCCTAA